CCTCCCTTCCCACTCCAACTCCACCCCCCCCCACCCCACACACACAGGAGCTTGCTGCTGACACTTCCCCAGCAGGGGGTCCCCAACCCTGGAGGAGACTGTGCCTGGGCCAGGCCAGGGCATCCCGTTCAGTGAGAGCTGAGTGCTCGGCTCTGCACCCACAGTCTGCCCCTGATGGCAGACTGGGCGCCAGCCTCTACCCAGCCTGGGCATGCAGCTCCCTCTGACAATGGGAGCAGAGGGACAGACTGCTTGGGAGAGGGGAGGAGCTGGCCAGAGAAGAACACAGCACACACCTGAGCTGTTGCAGGTCAACAAGCTCATGACTTCTGGCCCAGGAACTGGGTCCCTCTGGCCTCCAGTGACACACTTTCCACAGCCTGTTTACAAGGCATCCCAAGCAAGGAGGGATTCCCTGGAGGGTCACCATGGGAGGCTCTGAGGACAGAGACCTCCAACCTGCGGGCAACAGCCCTGAACCCAGTGCAAAGTAGCTCTGCAGCACCCAAGAGCCCTCCAAAGCATGCAGGAGTCCCCACTCCTCTCTGCTGCCCACGTGAGACCTGAAGGGGGGCCTCAGGCCAGACTGGAAATCCCTCCCAACCTCCACAAGACTTGGGAGCTGGGCAGTCGAGACATATAAGTTCTCTCCCCCTCCCAGCCTGGAGGATCACTTCCTATTGCTATGTCAGATAGATCATTTTACCAGCCAAGAGCCCTGAGCCAGGCCAGCCATGGCAGGGCCAGCAGAGCTCAGGATGGATGAGCCAGGGCAAGGCACAGAGGGGCCAGCCATGCTGAGGGCCGGTGCAGAGCAGATTGTAAGCAAGACTCAGGTCTGAACCCCACAACCTAGAACAGACACACAGCTGAGTTCTCCTGCTTTGGATCCCAGCTCTGCCCAGATAAGTATGAGCCAGAACCATTCCCCCAAATGCTGAGCTCAGAGATCACAACCCCCAAACCTGACCGAGCAGCTTTTGCCCCAGCAAAGCCAGTGCAGGTGTGAACTGTCTCTGCCCAAGGAATTCTGCCCACCTGGCTTTGCCCTGAACTGCTGCACCTGTCCTCGGGGGGTGGGGGAGAGTTCTGTGTACCCCCAAACCAACAGAGACACAAACATTTCCCACAGCCCTCCCTGCACTTGCTCTTTACTGGGATGGGAAGCCCAGTAAACGTGCAGCACCCTTCTAGGCCATTTCCCCAGGTCCCACATGGGATCCTGGACTGGATGCATGAAGTCATGGTGGCTGTAGCCCCAGGTTCGCCAGCAAGCTCCTCCACATGGCAGCTGTCCTTTCACAGCCTGGTGTTTCTAAGGGCCAGGGAGTGCTCCCAGCTGCCCTTTGGACTCCTGCCCTATGAGAGACAATGAGATTGACAGCAGCTGCAGCCGAAGCTGGAGGCAATATGTGACTCAAACAATTAACTGGCTGGGCTGCACCAAAACCAAGGTCATGCTGCTTCCCGGGCTCCCCTGCCTTGCTCAGCTGCCCCTCCGGCACTGACTTCCCCTGCAGGGTTCTCAGCACGCCACACCCAACCTGCTGCTCCCATTTCCTCTGCTGTCACCTGAACACCTGTCCCCCCTGCCTCCTACAGGCAGCAAGGAGCCATCTCCACAGTGGGCTGGAAGAGGCTGGAATTGGGGTCACTGTGGGTCCCCTCCCCCAGCAATCCGGAATCTAGAGTCGAGTTTGCTATTACAAATCAATGCCGTTCATTATGTTTGTGGAACTGCAGCATTTCCCGACCCCCGCCGCCGGCCTCGCTCCCTCTCCACCCTTGTAGAGGTCACCATGCAACACAACAGTGCTTCGCAGCAGCGCACACACACTGCCTCAGTGCTGCAGCACCGCTGCTCTGTCTATCCCACAGCCAGGCGAGCAGGTGCTCCTGGGAAGCCCTGCTCAGCACAGGAACCCCCACTGCCACGCTGTGGGCTCAGGTCCTGGAAGGGTGAGCGAGCAGCTCCAGACAGCAGGCCAGTCTGTGTCAGGTGCTCCTGGGAAGCCCTGCTCAGCACAGGAACCCCCGCTGCCACGCTGTGGGCTCAGGTCCTGGAAGGGTGAGCGAGCAGCTCCGGACAGCAGGCCAGTCTGTGTCAGGCTGGTGCAGCTCACAATAGCCCATCTGGGTGCTAGCGCTGCTAGCTGGGCTGGGCTCTCCGGTCGTCTACACTGCAATAAAAGACCCATGGCCCAGCCACCGCTGGTCTGGGTCAGCTGACTCGGGCTGGGGCTGCAGAGCTGGAAAACTGGCGGGTAAATGTTTGGGCTCAGGCTGGAGCCTGGGCTCTGAGACCCCATGGGGGGCAGGAGTGGAGGGTCCAGCCCAAGCCCAAATGTCCACATGGCTATTGTGTGCCCCCCAGCCCAAGCCTGAGTCAGCTAACCGGGCTCGGAGATTCAGTGCCAGGGGATTACTGCAGTGTAGACAGACCTTCAGTGGTCACACTCAGCAGCTCTACCCCCTGCTAGGGCTTCCCTGGCTGGGTTCCCGGCTGGCCATGGGAACGAGCCCACAAAGTAAACCCCCAGACAGACACGGCAGGTCCCAGCAGGCTGTGCCGAGGGGGCAGACCCTTCCTGAGCGGGGGCAGGCTAGGAGGGAGGGTGCAGCATGAGAGAGGAACAGGACCAAGCCCCTCAAGGTGGGAGTGGGAAAGAGAATGCAGGGCGAAGTGTCTCTGCGCACAGCATAGCAAACGCCCTGCACAGAGGGCCCCGGTGTGGGGTCAGCCCCCAGGACAGCGTTTAGGGCAGCCTGAGCCATGCACCCCTCCCCCCCCCCGCCCGCCACACAGTTGGGGCCCGGGCAGACGTGGCTGGAAACTCTACCTGCAGCTCACTCTTCAGCTGGGTGCCGGAGGCCATGTCTGACCCTGGGGATGTCCAAGGGCGAAAGAGGAGGCGAATGGGGACGCGGTGCTGCCGGGGCTCATTAAGAGGGGCCGGGGATGGCCCTGGCAGAGCTCCGCCCTCCCAGGGAAGCTGAGCCTATGGCTATGGAGCAGAGCTCAGAGAGCTGCCACTCCAGAGGAGCGCTCACAGTGGTGTGTGCTGGAGAGGCCTGGCGCATGGGGAGGGCAGCTGGCCTGTGGCTCCCAGTGTGGCCATCGTGGCTCAGCCACATGCTGCCTGGCTCACTGGCAGGAGCTGATGGGAGCAACTTGCCAGACAGTAACGCACGTCCAGGGCCTCCCAGCCGTTCCAGGGAGCTACAGACACTGCCGAGGGGGGGGGGGGGGTGTCTGAACAGAGGCAAGAAGATATCCTTATCCCCAGTTCAAGATGGGGAGACCAGGACAGGCAGCCCCACCCCCAGCCCAGGAGAGGGGGCTTTGGGCTCCTTCGCTTTCGCTCTAGCACCACTCTTGGTGGCAGCTGGCGGCCGTGAGGGGCAGCTCTGCGGGAAGGCTGGAGAAGCGGCAGGGGATGGAGCGGAGCTAAGCCGAGGGCGCTGGGAGAGAACAATCTGGCAGAGTCAATGGAGGCCTGGGCTGGAACATGCAGAGCATTTACCCAGCTGCACAAAGATTAACGGCTGAAGAGTCAAAGCCCAGGAGACAAACCAGAAAACTGGCTGGGGAGCAGGAGCCAAAGGCGGAGCCCCCCTGCTGAAAGCGCTGGCTATGGGGCTCCCGGGCCCTGCTGCTGCGAGCTGCCCCCACTGCCTTCACAGATCATTATTCAGCTAGTGGCATCATGCACAGGGAAGACAGGAAACGCCAGAATTACGGTTTCCCGGGTGACCCTAATTCGGCTGCCTTGTGTGTCTGCGCTCTGAGACAGCCTTCGTCGCATGCCCACGCTCGATTCTTCCCATAGGATCCTGCCTCCCTCCGTGCCAGGACGGAGGATGCGCAGAGAACGAGCAGCTCGCGATTCTTTACCCTCGTCATTCAGTGCGTGGCCCCGGCCGTACCAGCACCCAACCGAGAGCCTGCCCTGAACACCGAATTACCCGTTTCATTGTGGGCTCTCCCACAGGCACTCGCTCAGCACCGGAGTATCGAGTATCACGGCACTGGTGATGCCGGGAGAGGAGAGCCCAGCGTCACCCTAACTCACAGACGGGGAAGAGACAAAGGGAGCAGGCCACGCAGGGAACCAGTGACAGATCCGGGATTCGCACTCGGGACCTGTCCCTCCAGAGCGCGCTGAGGGATACTGACTGCTCCTGGCTCCCGCGGACGGCAACTGCAGCTGGCAGAGTCAGCAGCTCTGCAAAGCTGAGCCCAGCTCACTCAAGAGCACACAGATAAATGAGCCTCCCCTCCCCAGTCAGTGGCTACACCCCTTATGCAGGTGGAAGGGAGGTGGCGGCATAGGAGCCCCCTCCACTGTACACCCCGGGGAATCCCGAGGGGCCAGTTATGCAAAGTGCAGGGCAGCCATAGGCTTGGGCTGAGTTAGCTCTGATTGACAGCAGTGGGAGCGAGAGGAGAATCAGGCTGGTTTTACAGGACTCTCAAACTGGAGACAGAAAATAGTGATGAAAATGCAACCAAGCTCCAAAGGATCCGGCTGATGAGCTGGCAGATAACGCACTGGGGAGCCCTTGGGACTCAATGGGGACCGCGGGGCGAAGGGCCCCAGGAGACCGTCTCGGAGAGTAGGGTTTGGGGCCTGCAGAGAGGCTCTATAACCATTTGCTTGCTGCCAGAGACAGCCTGGCTGTAAGGCCCATGGGCAGCATACAAAAGCCAAGGGGCTGAGCCTGGTGCTGCAGAGGGGACTTGGGGACACGGTGGGGATGGGGTCCTGAGCCTCTGTGTGCCAGAAGCTGGGAATGGGCGACAGAGGATGGATCACTTGATGATTGCCTGTTCTGTTCATTCTCCCTGGGGCACCTGGCACTGGCTGCTGTCGGAAGACAGGACACTGGGCTGGATGGATCTTTGGTCTGACCCAGTCTGGCCGTTCTTATGTTCTTCTAACATTCAGGGCCCAGAAGGAGCAGTGAGAATCAGTGGCATTGCCCAGTGTGAACGGAGTCAGCGCACCTGCGTGCAGAGCTAGGCGCTTCCCACCAGACAACATGATAGACTCCAGGGGCAGCAGAGATGCAGATAACTCAGCTCTGTGGGTGTGTCCACACTAGGAAAGGGAGGGGAGTTCTTCCCACCCACTGGCTGGCCCGTGGGGGGATCCTAGTGAGGAGAAGGCAGTATGCACACAGTAGGAAGCCTCCGGTTCACCACACTCTGCTAAGACGTGACCACTGCCTTGTCTTCACTAGGACTTTACCAAGTGGGAGTTACCGCAGCTTTTCCCAGAGTGTCCGAGTTATGGGGGCTCCGGTCGGGAAAGAAGAGGG